ACACACACACACACTACACACACACTACACACACACACACACACACACACACACACACACACACACATTTATTTATATATATATATATATATTTAATTTAGTGTTTGTGTGTGCGCGCGCGTATGTGTGTGTGTGTGTATGTGTGTGTGTGTGCGCGCGTGCGCGCGTGCGTGCGTGAGTGCGCGTGTATGTCTGTGTGTGTCTGTGTATGTGTATATACGCATATTATTTTTTTCATTTTCTTTCATTTATTTATAATCGTTCAGTATAGGTGGAACTTTAACCGAAACATTGTATTTGTCAAAATTAATTATTCCCCGGGTAATGGCCACAACGTAAATATTTGCTTTTACTTACCGCTGAGGGCCACTAAAGGATTTTTCACGTGAAATCATGAGCGAGCACAAACAAATGGCTACCATGCGTAATGCTTTACACAGCGCTATACGTTCGTAATACTGGCAGCCATATTATTTATTGAGACGTATCGTTTATAGTATCACAGGAAAATAAAGTTAATCTGAGTTAGATCCATAATAATATTATGGATCTAACTCAGAATAACTTTATTCTCATGTGAACTATAGAGATCAGATTATATTTTTCAATCGTTTATAGTATCGTTTGGTTGACGAACTTCGATAAAAACTGCTGGCACTGAGCCAGCGTTGTTTTACTGAGTCATCAGCGAGTAGCGATATCATACACAGTTTAAACAGACGCGTTGTCACAGTTCTAACACTAGCACCCGCAGTGATCGAAAAGGACAAATATAGAGGGTAAAATCCACGTAGATAGAATTTTAAAACAAACATACGATTGATTATTCGTTAGCTGTAATCTTATATGGTTCGTGTTAGATTCGCACTAGGTGGCAGTAGACGCGTATGACTGCCAGAATGGTCATTTCTGAAATGTTAGAAGTCAGAGCAGTGTCTGAACTTGACCAACGTTAGAATTCTTAAGTAGGCTCTCTCTCTCTCCTTCCCACATTTCTCTCCCTCTCTCTTTCTTTTCCTCCCTCTCAGTGTGTCACTCTTACTCTTTCCCCCCTCTCTCTCTCTCTCTTCCTCTCTCTCGGTCTCTCTATCTCTCACTCTCGCTATATACATATATCTATCTCAGATGCCCCACTCTTTCCCTCTCACTCTACCTGTCATATCATCTCTCCTTCTCGCTCTCTTCCTCTATGTATATACCGCTAATTTTTTGGAATATAATATTCTAAGCGTGCATTGCGTGCGGAATTTTCTAACATGCCTGACACCAGCCCACCTCCCCTAGTCAGTATGGGCGGCAGGGCTGCGCCCCGTGCGACTGTGTGTCAACAACAACTACAACAACAATAACATCCCTAACAACAACAATAACATCCCCAAGAACAACAATAACATCACCAAGAACACCACCAACAACCACCACCACCACAACAACAACAACAACAAAAACAACAACAACAACGACGACAACAACAACAACAACAACAACAAACAACAACAACAACAACTCCCGCTGATCTCTCTCTCTCTCTCTCTCTCTGTCTCGCAGACGGCGTGATACTCGACGGAAGAATCGAAGGCGGACAATGTCCACAATCTCCCGGCGCCGCCGCCGCTGCCGCCGCCGGACTAAACGGAGTCGCCAACCCACTGTGCGCCATCTGCGGTGACCGGGCGACGGGAAAGCACTACGGAGCGTCGAGCTGCGACGGCTGTAAGGGCTTCTTCCGTCGCAGCGTGCGCAAGAACCACGTCTATAGCTGTCGCTTCCAGCGGCAGTGCGTCGTCAACAAGGACAAGCGAAACCAGTGCCGCTACTGTCGGCTGCGAAAATGCTTCCGAGCGGGAATGAAGAAAGAAGGTAATAAAATAAAATATGATAGGATACGTAAAGGAAATAATATAAAATAATATAATATAATAGGATATATAAAGCAAATAATATAAAATAATATAATATAATATAAAGGAAATAATATAAAATGATATAATATAATATAAAGGAAATAATATAAAATGATATCATATAATATAAAGAAATATAAAGAAATATAATGCAGCAGCTGAGAGAGCCATAAATCAGATGAATTGTTGTGCACGTTTTGACAAAAGCATGAAAATGGGCGCACAGGTAGTTTAGGAGATAAGGGAATGACTCGACGGAGGTTCTTGTTTGCGATACAAGCGCATAGGTGCGCTTTTCCGCGAGCGCGCACACACATCCGGTCGCGCACGTATACGTACACTTTTGTAGTCGCTCTCTCGACTCTCTCCGTCTCTCTGTGTGTCTTTCTTCCTCTCTTTCTCTCTCTCTCTCTCTTTCTCTGTATAACGCTGTATCTCTCTCATACAGACACAAGCACACAGCACACGTGCACACACGCACACACACACACGCACACACACACACACACACACACACACACACACACACACACACACACACACACACACACACACACTANCTCTCGTTCTCTCTCGTATGTATACCTATCCTCTCTCCTGTATGTGTCTAACCTCTTCTACCTCTATGTATACTTACCCTTTTTCTCCGGTATACACCTACTCCTTTCTCTCCCGTATGCACCTACCCTCTCTAGCTTGTACGCACCTACCCTCTCCCCCTGTACGCACCTACCCTCTCCCCCTGTACGCACCTACCCCCCTCTCTTCTGTATGTACCTACCCTCTCTTTCCTGTACGTATCTAACTTCTCTCTTCTGTATGTACCTACCCTCTCTCTTCTGTATGTACCTACCCTCTCCCCCTTTACGCACCTACCCCCTCTCTCTTCTGTATGTACCTACCCTCTTTCTCCTGTACGTATCTACCCTCTCTCTTCTGTATGCACCTACCCTCTCTAGCTTGTATGCACCTACCCTCTCTCCCTGTACGCACCTACCCCCTCTCTTCTGTATGTACCTACCCTCTTTTTTCCTGTACGTATCTAACTTCTCTCTTCTGTATGTACCTACTCTCTTTTTCCTGTACGTATCTAACTTCTCTCTTCTGTATGCACCTACCCTCTCCCTCCTGTATGCACCTACCCCCTCTCTGTATGTACCTACCCTCTTTTTTCCTGTACGTATCTAACTTCTCTCTTCTGTATGTACCTACCCTCTCTTTCCTGTACGTATCTAACTTCTCTCTTCTGTATGTACCTACCCTCTCCCCCTGTACGCACCTATCCCCTCTCTTCTGTACGCACCTAGCCCTACCCTCTCTTTCGCTGTACGTAATCCTAACTCTCTCTTCTGCTATTACCTACCCTCTCTCTTTCTGTCACCTGTACCGACCCTCTTCTGCTCTGTAGTGTACCCTCCTTCCCCTTGTCACGTACCTCCTAGCCTCTCCACCTGTATGCACCTTAGCTATCCTCTCATGTACACACGGCGCGGGAGCGGTCGTCCGGTATAATGCCACACGGCTATTCCCCTGTACACACGCGTGTGGTAGACGGATTTTGTGTTCTCTTTTAATCTCGCTCCCTCTCTCTCCTCTCCTCTCTCTCTCTCTCTCCCCCCCCTTCTCTCTCTCCCCTCTACTCTCTCACATCTCTCTGTCTCTCTCTCCTCTCTCTCTATGCTCTCTCTCTAGGCTCGCGCTCTTCGCTTCATCGTCGCGACCCTCTCTCTCTCGCTTACTTCGCTCCTCTCTTTCTCTCTCTCTCTCTCTCTCTCGCCTCTCACTCTCCTTCTCTCTCTCTTCTCTTATTTTCTCTCTCTCTGCTTTCTTATTTCTCCTATGCTCACTCCCCTTCTTCTCCCTCTCTCATCTCCTCTCTCTCTCTCTCTCTCCTTTCTCTCTCTCTCTTTCTGTTTCTCTCTCTCTCTTCTCTCTCTCTCTCATTCCATCTCTCTCTTCTTTCTCTGCCTTGGTCCACACACGCCACGCTCGCCGCGTGAGAAATCGACAACAGTTGCAGCTGTATTGAAATATCTCGGG